TGCCCCTTATCCCTCTACATTCATTGAAAACAGTACAAAGGCCAAAGGAAATGATTGTTGAAAAAATAACAAAAATTCAATAAACAATTATGGTTAGTTACTGCAATGAGGAAATGCAACATTATATTTCTTTACATGCTGTCAAATATTTTGTATAATCTTTTTGATTGTGAGCCAGTAAAGCTTTACAACTGCAATCAGTGGCGGGTGCAATGTTCTGGCTCCTGCAGACTCTTCCTCCTGTCCTTGCACGTACCTCGGTGTGGGTATTCAGTAACATGGACAGGAGGAAGAAGAATGAATGTACTACAAATATGGTGAAGTAACTGCACTTGTACTACATTGAGAACTACAAATCTCCATTCTCCATTTATGGATCCTATCAAAGGATCTACACCGAGTGGCCAGATTATTATGACCACCTGACGTTTGTAGGCAAATTAGCTATAAGTTGGCGCTGAAGTTGCTAGAGGGCCAGACCATTATAAATAGGGAATCGGGTTGGTTACCACGACAGTAGAAGTGATTTGTTTCTGAAGATACGGGGAAACAACGCGATTTAACAGCCTCTGAACGCGGGATGATTGTTGGCGCTCTGAGCCATGGAGCGAGTATCAGCAAAACAGCAGAATTAGTTCAATGTTCAAGAGCAGCTGTTGTTAAAGAGTTTAAAGACCGGACTGTCAGCCGAAAATCTGGGTCTGAACGTGCGAATTGTGGCCGTCAGCTACTAGTCAATGTTAGGGCAGAACGGGGGAGGGGCAAGACTGGTACAAGACAACAGAAGGGCAACAGTGCCGTGTCACATTCCTCGCATCACCTTTCATCATCTCGTGGAGTCACCAGGCGGCCCAACGAAGTACTGATGGGGTGGTCATAATAATCTGGCCACTCAGTGTATAAATGGATGATGGGGCTGTTTGGGCAGAGCCACACTGAGATCATAACAGAGCAGTAGCCTATAGGGAGAAGAAGCAGTTCAGGTGAGTGGGGGAGATTCATGTTACTTCCTAAATATGGGTGCAAAATGAGACATGGTCAGAAAGGTAAACTTTATTTCATCCTATTCACTTTAAATGGCCAATTAACTAGCCAGACCCCTCACGATTTTTGGCCACGAAGCTCACCGCTATGCACAGAGAATTCACATCTGCGTGTTTTAGTGCTCTATAGCAGCGTTTCTTAACCTTTTTTCAGTGGTGGTGCCCTTTAAAAGTATGCAAATTCTCAAGGCACTAAGCTTATTAAAACGAATATTAACTCTATACAACGCATTATAGCGTGCTGTAACCTGAGCTTTATTGTGTTTGTGCCGGAATTCAGATAAAAGTGTGTGGACTGCTGATCAAGGAACTGATTTGGTTCCAAAACTTTGCTTTTCATTGTGATGTAACCTGTCAATAAAGATTCATTGGTAGAGCAAACAGTGGAGTGCCGGCAACTTCTTTTCCTACTATTGATTACATGCAGTGCCATCCGCAGTCACTGCAGCGCCCACCCAAGAACTATGGGATAGACATGGGCGATTCATTTGGTTCCGAATTGAAATGCCGAGGAATTTCTGCAAATTTGTACATTCGGATGCATCCAAATTTCCGAATGAAAGAAATAACAAATCCGAACATATCCAAATTTTCCAATACCGAAATTCGCATGCATCCAAAAGACGTATCCAAAATGTTTTCCTAATCTCATTAGGAATGAACTTGTGTTGTTCAACATTAAAATAAAAAAAAATTACAGCCCTGCTCCCAAATGTCAACAAAGGTGCGATGAGCTGTCACGGAATGTCAACAAAGGTGCGATGAGCTGTCACGGAATGTCAACAAAGGTGCGATGAGCTGTCACGGAATGTCAACAAAGGTGCGATGAGCTGTCACGGAATGTCAACAAAGGTGCGATGAGCTGTCACGGAATGTCAACAAAGGTGCGATGAGCTGTCACGGAATGTCAACAAAGGTGCGATGAGCTGTCACGGAATGTCAACAAAGGGGCGGAACAAGTCTTGTGATGTCACGACTCGCTCCGCCCATTTGTTGACATTCGGGTCAGAGCTGTCATTTTGCAGCGAGATTTTTTCTTTTGGCAAGTTGGCGGCTGTCGTCCATCATGACTAATGTAGATCTACATCGCTGGATGACGTGGTTGACCTGTGGATTACATCGATGGACACTTTTTTTTCTTCAAATAAAGGACTTTGTATATCATCTTATGCTTTTATTTACAGTTATTTGGTGAATGAGTGGGGGTAACAACTACATGAACGAGTGGGGGTGAGTTGCACGAGTGGGTTTCCCCGGGCCAGGGTTGTGGGGGACAAGGTGCTTTTCCAGGGGGTATCCCCCAGGCAAAGCACCCTTCCTATGTTGAGGGCATGTGGCTTGGTATGTTGCAGGAAGGGGAGGAAAACACTTGTTTCCCCTCCTTCTTGATTTGGTAAGGGATTTTAGGGAGGGCAAACATTTTTTGTTTTGTTTTTTGGTGTCAGGGCTCCCCCTAAAATTCCTACCAGACTCAAAGGGTCGAAAACAAAAATGTCAGATTTGGACGAATCTGACGAATTTAACGAATCCATGGATGAACTCAAACTTTGTCTTGCCAGCCTTTGCCTTTCACTCATACACACAGGTGAAACTCGAATAATTAGAATATCGTGCAAAGTTCATTTATTTCACTAATGCAACTTAAAAGGTGAAACTAATATATGAGAGAGACTCATTACATGCAAAGCAAGATAATTCAAGCCGTGATTTGTCATCATTGTGATGATTATGGCTTACAGCTCATGAAAACCCCAAATCCACAATCTCAGAAAATTAGAATATTACATGCAATCAATAAAACAAGGATTGTACATAAAACAATATCGGACCTCTGAAAAGTACAAGCATGCATATGTACTCAGTACTTGGTTTGGGCCCCTTTTGCAGCAATTACTGCCTCGCGTGTTCAGACCCAGATTTTCGGCTGGCAGTCCAGTCTTTAAACAAGTGATAAATAGCACCTCGCGCCAAACCCTGTGTAGCTGCAAGCACTATAAGAAGGGCTACCCTCTGGGGCCCAGATGAAGTCAATTGTGACGTAACGTGTAGGGCGGAGTCTGGCAGACGTGGATTGGAGATTGCATGGTCGGCAGCACAGCTCCTGTTTGATCTGTCTTTGCACCCAGAGAACTTGGAGAGTTGTCGAGCATACATTTATTTGAAGTTTTATGCCTACTTTCCTCATGTGAGTAGTTTTTTAAATAAAGGAGGTTTTTTAATGTTGCGGTTTTACGCTATGGGCTGTTTTTATATTTTATTGGATATGGTCGTGATGAGACGCTGACGTCATTTTCTGTGCAACGATTGTGGAGAGATGGCCTTTGAATAAGATCGATTGGAGACCCATTAAAGCGATTCTAGACCTGTTCAGGTCTATTTATAAGGTGAGCGGCCCACTGAGAGGGGGAGCACCTGGGTGATAATTGGAGTTGACGTATGGACTTTGCACAAAGAACTTTCACAGTGGAAGGATAAAGAGTGTGGTGCACTTGGGACAAATCCTGAGCACCATATACGTGTGATTCCACATTTGTGTATATTTGAACACGGAATATATGATTGAACTTTCCAGAGGACTATTATTTATAAGAAGATTCATTGTGAACACTTTTTTGATTGCATGTATTATTTAAGCACACATTTATTATAGAGATTTGTTTATGTATTGTTCTAGATGAAGCGCAGTACATTCACTATAATTTGATAAGTCCGGTCTTTAAACACTTTACCAACTAACATTTAAGGAATTCTGCTGTTTTGCTGATACTCGCTCCATGGCTCCGAGCGCCAACAATCATCCCACGTTCAAAGGCTGTTAAATCGCGTTGTTTACCCATATCTTCAGAAACAAATCACTTCTACTGTCGTGGTAACCAACCTGCTTCCCTATTTATAATGGTCTGGCCCTCTAGCAACTTCAGCGCCAAATTATAGCTAATTTGCCTACAAACGTCAGGTGGTCATAATAATCTGGCCACTCAGTGTATGTATATATATATTTCCTGACGCCAATCCATGGCGGCATACAATGGGTATGGCTCCGCCCCCCACCCAATCACAAGACCAGTTATACTATAAATTAAAGCCCGCCTATGGCAACCCTAGTGCAGGAAATGGTCTCTTGGGGTCTCTCTTCATGTTCGGCTGCTTTCTCCATCATGGCGGCAGGTTGAACACCTGCTTAGCCTCCTGGCCTGGTGACTCCAGAGAAGAACCGTGACTCAGCTGCATCATCAGAAACTATGGTTGTACTGGGCTGATCACACGCATGGACAAGCTGACAAGTAGGATCCACTCCATTTTCTTTCAATGAGTTTGTTTCAGTAATACATGTGCTGCTATTAGGAGATTGTTGGTTGTGGCTACAGCCGGCGTGCCTGTTTCAACTATTATCTGTGTCCCTATCCAGGGATCGGGTTAATTAAGGATTCCTATGTGCAAATCACTTCAACAGCCTTTTACTCCAAGGTCGGTGACAATCCTTCAGGGGGAATATGTCTTCAGCATCTTGGAGTTCAGAGAGCCTTTCAGATCCAAGGAACCTCTGCATTAGTTCAATGAACAACTGGATGATATTTTTTCCACAGATTTGGTGTCTGCTCATAGATGTATAGGAACTACTACTCAATTGCTCTATTACCACTTCATCCTCTCCTCCTAGATACTTCCAACTCTCCACCGAACCTCCGATAGTCGGCAGATTGTTCAAACCCTATAGATATTTGTATCTACATCTTTCCCTCTGAACATTTGTTTCTCCACAGAATCTCAAATCGTTAGCTCATGGAACCATCAGGATATTTTCTTTTCCCAGAAGATACAAGAAGCCAAAAATCACACGTAGCCTCAAATCTTAGGATCTTGTTTTTTCGCAAATAATCTAAAACCTTACATTAATACCGACATAAATCAGCGTTGTAAAAAAAACAAAAAACAGACATTTCCGATACCATCAGATCAATCCCTCGACCCTTTTAGAGTGATACGACACCATCCGTTGAAGTCTTTTGAATCAGTAGCAAATTCTGCGTGCCAACGTGCGTGCTCGTCCCCGATGCGTTTCGTCCATAGGACCTTGATAAAGTCACGCACGTTGACATACTTGCTACGGATTCAAAGAATTCAACTGATGGTGTCGTATCAACTTAAAAGGGTCGAGGGATTTTTATACAAAAAAATAAATAAATAAGGATTTCTATACACATATGTCACATCAAATTAAAGCCCATTTTGACCTTTAAAAAACGGTATATAATATGTGGAGGTGCCATGAATGAGGAAGATGGGAATTCTGGGTAAACAAACACAAAGCATAAATGGCTCCAATCCCCGGAACTAAAACATTTCTGAAGCTGTGTCACTAAGGGCTTGTTCACAAGATTTTCTGGTCCAGATCTGGAGCAGATCTTCAGACGCGGTGCTATGCGTGCAGCGCGTTTTTACCGCATTCTGGACGCTTTCCAGTACCTTTTTTTTTTTTTGGGGGGGAGAGGGGCATTCAGTATGCAGATTCTTCCTCTGAGGTCACTTCCGCCCTCTCCTTACAACTACTTCCCTTTGTGTATGTAAAGCTGGTGATCAGACATGTATCACGTGTGCAGGCATGTTGATGGTGCTGGCTACAGCAATCTGCAGAGAACGAGCTCGCAGGAGACGTCGTTATTGGCTACACCCAGTGGCGTCATAAGGGTGTGGCCCACCCCCTCCAAGGGTGTGGCCCGCATCCGGGTGACACCATTGGAGGGGTGACACCAAAAGGACTCACAGTCATTTTGGTGTCACCCCCCTGTGAAAAGTCGGGCGCTCGGTCATGGACCGAACGCCCGACAGTTTCAGGACAGAGGAGGGGACCCGGCAGGATACCTCATCCCACCGGGTGGCTGTCTCCTCCTCTCTCTGCCGGCGTTCATCACCAAGATGGCCGCCGGCAGGTATCAGAATACTGCCGCGCATGCGCGGTGACGTCTTGGCGGGGTGACACTCGGTTACCGCTCCGGGTGTCACCTAGCCTCGGGACGCCCCTGGGTACACCCGATCTTGAGGCTCAGGGACTCCAAGGGTTGGTTCTGGAGTTTATATGAGGATTTGCGAGCTCACCCGGATACATTTTTTTCCTTTACTCGTATGTCCATGGAAAGGTAATTGGCGTGTCCCAAATGTTTGCACTTCATGTCTTTTCTAACACTTTTTTTCTAAGTGGAGCAAGAATACATTTTTTTTTTCTGTTAGCTGTTTTTAATCAGTGAACAGCTTGTTGCTCATATCCAGTGATATTACTGCTACTGGAAGATGCTACTGGACCGGAAGTGGTATGTATTACATCACTTCCGGTGTCGCTCATTACAGTCTCCGGCTCTTGGAACCAGAGGAAGCTGGGGAAGCAGATTTCGGCTTCCTCAGCTTCTTTGGGGTCCCTAAGTGACATTAGGGGTCTGAAAGAACCCTGATGTCTCCATAAAGAGGACCTGTCACACCCTATCTGCTGTTACATAGGGGGCTCGTTAGCCCCCTATGTGATAGCAATAAGGTTAAAGTATTAAAAAAAAGCGTTTTAAGTCCCCCCACGTGCACGCACATACACACGCAAATATGCGTCAGTGCGAAAACAACAAATGTGCTACACGTTACATATCGCCGCAAGCGTCGGAGCGAGAGCAATAATTCTAGGCCCTTTCAATCACTGTTAGCAGGAAACCCGATGAGTGGTAAAAGCTTTTAAAAGTATCCCCTATGGGAAATTTTGGGTAATGAAGTTTGTTGCAGCTTTGCGGATGAACGCAGTTTTAAGACTTGACATGTTTGGTGTTTATTTACCCGGCGTGACCCCGCCTTTCATATTTTACCAAACAAATTGGCCATTATATTCTGTTTCTGAGCACTAAATTTAATTTGTGTTTTTTATCCTAAAAATACTTGTTTGATAAACGTTTGCACAAATACCGCGCGACATAAAAAAATTGCAACTAGCATCTTTTTATTCTACAGGGCTTCTGCTTTCAGAACATATATCATTGTTGGGGGTCTAAAACTGTTTTCTAGCCAAAAATTTATATTTTATTATGTGTGTGCAACTGTAAGAAATTGCTCCGAACAGCAAGTGGTTAATGGTGTAGTTCACACCAGTGCGTTGCATTTTGCAATGCATGTAAACCAGTGGCGTAGCAATTACCATAGCGACCCAGGCAGCCGCTATGGGACCCGGGCACAGGGGGGCCCGGCCAGGGCATCCCTCTGATGCCGTATGGGTCGCTATGGCATATCAGGGTTCTGGCTGTCACTGACACAGCTCAGCAGCGGCGGTGAACAGGAACACCCGCTGCAGAGCTGTGTCAGTGACAGCCAGCAGCTGCTGCAGAAGAGGCCGGCGTTCGCAGTGGAGGAGGCGGGGCCTGGCGACCTAAGAGTCAGAGATGTAAGAGGAGGCAGGGCCCCGGGGATGGAAGAGGAGGCGGGGCCCGGGGACGGAAGAGGAGGCTGGGCCAGGCTACCACAGACGGAGGCGGACAGCGCTGACAGGTAAGAGGTGTGTAGCCCATCTGAGACCCTGCAGAGCCCACTATAGAGAGTCTATGGTGGTCTCTGCAGGGTCACTCTCAGGTGGGCTCTGCATGTGGCATAACTAGCAATCACAGGGCCCCATACAAAATTTTACTTGGCTTCTGAAAAAGGACAACCAGACTGAAGGACAATCAGCAGCATTTATTTTCCATTGTTCAGATGATCAATAAAACAGCAATTATTACAAACGTCTTAAATAAACCAGATACTGCGCGTCTGCAGTCATGTGTATCCAACATGCCTGACACATGCCTGCCCACAAACCCTTAACATGTGTTTATACATACATCATAGCATGACTGACACTAAGGGGGTCTATTTATAAACAATTTGCGGTGTCATTCACCCCGCTGAACGTCCGTTCTGTTCAAATACAGCCAAAAACGAACATTCCTAGTATATTTCATTTATAGGTCGATTTCTAATGTAATACCACATTATGGCCACTAGATGGAGCCAAGAGGCACAGGAACTAAATTCGTCTTTCTCCATCTAGTGGCCATGTTGGGGTATCACATGACATTGCACCTGAAAAGATAATATACTAAGAACATTTGTTTTTGCCTCCGTTTACACAGGAGAAAGGTTCACAGAGATTTGCAGGGTGAATGGCTCTACGGATTGTTTATAAATAGACTCCTATGTTTTCCTTTATAATAAATCCTTATGAAACATCTTTCTATTTGAAAGAGGGAATTATGGGGGTGTAGCAGGGAAGTCAGATCAGACAATGATAATTAAGACTTCAATATAAGACAACTGAACAGTGGTGAGAAATATGGGCTTAGGCCTCGTTACCAACCTCTGAAGAGCAATCTGCAATTGATCGCTTGGCTGAACGGAGGTTAGCAGACATTCAGGAGGTGATACTGCCTTTTTTTTATCCCCAGGGGGATTTTGCATTGCAATACCCTGCCACAAACGCATAGCAATGGCTTGGCACGTGGTCGCAGCATGGTAATGCAATGCTAAATCCACCTTTGGGATAAGAAACAAACATACAGTTATGGCGCGGTCCCATGGACTGTAATGGACTCATTTCCATGTGGCACTTCCTGCCAAAGGCATTGAGCAGCCGCCATGTTGGGCTTTACATGGGAGGTCAGGGACGGTAAGAATGAGGATCAGCTGCCTGTTTTTATCGCCCCTTTGCTGCCCGTGAACGAGGATTTAGTGCAAATGGCCATGCTGAAGAAACGCACAGCGACCAGATTTCATCATCGTCCTTTCAAACCAGTACAAATGAGTATTGTTTATTTCAGTAGCATCACAAGGGGGGTGCGGCCCGCACCCGGGTGACACCATTGGAGGGGTGACTCCAAAATGACTGACAGTCATTTTGGTGTCACCCCCTCTAAAAATTTGGGCACTGGGGTATGGGCCGAAAGCCTGACAAGTGTCAGGAGAGAGGAGGGAACCCGGCCGGATGAGATATGAGTGAACGTCCCCTCCTCTCTCTGCTGGTGTCCATCACTTAGATGGCAGCCAGCAGGCGTCAATTAGATGACCGCGCATCCACGTGGTGATGTCACGCGTATTCGCGATGACATCACGGCGGGGTGTCACCCGGTCTCGGCTCCGGGCGACGCCCGGCCTCGGGATGCCCCTGGTTTATTTGTTGCTGTGAGAAAGTGCCCATTACACATACAGACCTCGCACCCCCGGAAATTAAAGCAGATGTAACCCCCAATCACTAAATTCTCATATAGAACATGTTAATGTGACATCAAAAATCGTTTGCAATCATTCTAAATCTGCATTCTTTATTAAAAACAATGCCTGGTGATCCTGTAATGACAATTTTCAATGGAGGCACTTCCTGTTATGGGGGTGACAACGCTCCTTCCCAGTGTCCAAAATGGGCTCCTGAGTAGCCACCCTGACATCTGCTCTTCAAGTGACAATAAGCAGCGGTGTGGATGCTCATTACACAGACATGTTCTGCTTTTGTCATCATCAGGAAAGCCACCTTAAGAAACGATGTGCAGCCAATGCATTTAGACAGGAAGTGGCTGCTAAGAGGCTGCAGGATATCGAATACTGAGATGCAAAAAATGGATGAAAACGGTTTTCGAAAAGCCAAAAAAGGTTTATGAGACGCAGTGCTTTAGCAACATATCATCCGATTAGAGTTTACATCTACTCTAAGTCATAATCAAAGAGTTCTGAATACTGTGCAGTGGGCAGAGAACATGACAACAGCAGACTGACAGAGCCAGGGCACAAAATGATCCGCCGGGCTACTTTGTATACAGGGACGGTCAACTCCACCGGTAGCGGATTGTGCAAATGTGGTCATCAGGACTCGATGGTGGTCACTGGGGGAAGGAATACAGTGTCCGGGGCGGAGCCTCTGCAACCAAGAAGAATGGAAGAACAATATTCAATAGATAGACATTCTTTTATTACATCTAGAACGATCTTCAGATTGCGTATACCCGTCCTGAAAGAAATGGATTGCTTTCCAGTACGAGGCACTCTGTGCACATTTATCCTCTTTATATGGAATGTTAAATAGTTTTATGCAGATTTTATGATCAGGACTAAAAGATCCATTTTTGTTTTGCTCCTAAATATTGTGTACTTTTACTTTTCGGCCAGCAGGTGGAGCTCCAGGCTGCTTTACACATTTCCCTGTCTATCTGTATATGATTTGTTGTAAAAAATGTCAGCTGTGTACAGAGCTCAGTAGCTGAAGCCAACATATATTTACACAGAGAAGTGAATGAGTAAGAGGGCAACTCTGATCCATTCAGAGGGTTTTGTATACAGAGCATGAGAAACAACCTATAATGTATTAAAGAGGAACTTTACCCTCATCTTCAAAAGGACAACAAACACACCTTTAGAAATGTGTAGTAATGACAATCTACAATAGGATGCTTCCAGATAACTGCCAGACTTTTATTCTTTACATACCTTATTTCTCTTTTCCTCCCCATTCCTCTCACAGCGGCCATGTTTACTAAAGGCAGAATACTAGATCTCCCTTTACTTCCTGGAACTCTGACACATGTGACTGGGTCATGTGACCATGCACATCATTTCAGCGGAGGAAAATGCCTTTCCCTGAGATCTGGTGAGATGACAGCTGAGATTTCCCAGCAATGCTCTGCTGATGTAATCTTCGCAGGGTGCAACGCTTGGGCACAATTACATCACTTGTGCCAAAGAGGACCAGGAAGTGGAAAAACAATAATTGTAAGTCAAAGAAAAATATGTTTAACTAATGAATGTGAGATGATTCTATATCGGCATGCAGAGCTGCACGCGGAGGTGATTTTTTTGGTCAAAGGGGGTAAAGGTCCATGTTAAATGTTTATTTGTAAAACAAATCATGATGTAAATAATAATAATAAAAAATAAAATATTAGTTAACGTTTTAAATGAAAAAATAAATTGGACCAGAACCCATATCATTTCTCCTTAAAATAACCATGTGAGAGATGGATGGAGGGGCTGCAATTTCCAAAAGCTCCCGCTGACAATGTTAGTTGCCTGGCCGTCCTACCGATCCAAATCACTGACTCAGAAGAATTTTGCCGACTTCACTTGGCTGGTTCAGGGTCATGGACTGCAACACATTGACGATGGAGACGGCCAGGCGACCAGAATTTCCCAACAAACGGGAGAAGAATAAGGTTTGCGGAAGGCTCAGCAGTGACATGACCTGCAACAAGCCACGGCTCACATTTCAGCACATTCATCCCAGCCATCTGTGGCCAGCTGTACCAAGAACAGAGACTCACCTCGGGCTTTCTCAGGGGAGAAGGTGACTGGAACCCTGGGAACAGTGCTGGAAGTCCTGGGAGAAGTGTATAGATTAGTAGGAGCTCCGGAAACATCTACTGCCATCCGACTTGTCTCAAAAGCTGAAAACCAACAAAAAAGGTTCATTATAAAGTACAACAACAAACGTTAGGGACTCCAAACAGAGCTTCAGTCCAACTGCGATAAAATCTCCAGTCCAAAAACTGGGATACTGTTACTAGGGATGCACCGATACTGGTTTTTCGCTATTGAGTACCAATATGTTTTCTTATTGGTACTCGCCGATAGCGGTTCCATGTGCCCCGATTATCAGAAAGTCGGGCGTGACCCATCGCCCTGGCTTCCTGATTGCCTGGGGCGCTGGTGTTCTATTGAAAGAACTTCCGACTTCACGTGCCGAGGCAGCCTGGCTTCCTGACCAATCAGGAAGTAGGGCGGCAGGTCATGAGGTGCCTTCCAGCTTCCGGATTAGTTAGGAAGCAAGGCTGCCCAGCAACAAGTGAAGTTGGCTTCCTAGGCAATCAGGAAGCCGGGAGGCGGGTCATAACTCACCGCCCGGCTTCCTGATTGGAAAGGAAGCCGGCTCCATGCTCCCTTGGCACTGCGGATTAGAGGGAGATCTCCTTCTGACCGGAAATTCCAGTATCGGAGCATTTGGGCGAGTACGAGTACTCACCCCAAATACTCGGTATCGGCACTGATAGCGATACTAGTATCGGTATCAGTGCATCCCAAACTGTTACATAAACATATGGTTTAGTGTGGACGGGGGAATCTGTTAGATCTCTTTTGCACAGCCCACGGGATCAAGAAAGAAATCTATTATTGTATGACCAGTTGGAGGCAATTCTCACCTGGAGGCTGAAACAGACGAGAAAGTCTGATAGAAAAATGATAGATTCTGGATGGAGGAGAGGAAGTAGAGAGCAGAGATGGAGGAGAAGAAGCAGACAGCAGAGATGGAGGAGAGGAAGCAGAAAGCAGAGATGGAGGAGAGGAAGCAGAAAGCAGAGATGGAGGAGAGGGGGGTGGGGGGTGTCGTGTCACCATATTATCAGATTTGTTTGCCCAGCTCGACACTGATTGGCTGGGAAGCCGGCTTCCCGGCCAATCAGCATCGAACCGGCTTAATAGCATGGAGCTAGCTTCCCGACTCCATGGTCCCTCGCAGCGCTGCCGGTCAGAAGAAATCTCCCTCTGACCAGAAGTTCCAGTATCGGGAAAGGTATTGGGGCATTTGGGCGAGTGTGAGAACTCGCCCAAATACTGATACTAGTATCGGTATCAGTGCATCCCTAGTTCTGATCAGTTGGACAAATATCTGCTGATTCAGTAGAACCGATTGCAATTCTGATGGGTCAAGTGATCATTTTTAATGCATTGTTTACATTTATGACTAATATTATTCGTCCATTACAAGAGGCTAGGGATGTCCCGATACCGATGCTAGCATCGGAATCGGGCCCGATACAGTGCATTTTGACAAGTACTTGTACTTGTCAAAATGCCCCAAAGCCTAGCGCCGAAGCTTGCGCTAATGTTAGCAGGGCAGAATTGTGAGCACCGAGATGCGATCCTGCCCAGCGCTGACTACTACGTGAGGCTACAGGGATCGGAGTGAAACTGTGAGTGAGGGAAGCCGGGACGGGGCAGGCTGTAAATCTATTGCAATAGTGTACTGGACGTGTGTAATGTATATGTAGTACAAATATACAGCACACACCTCCACTACACTCCAGCAATAGAGTTACAATTCTCCCCTGCTAACATGAATAGGTTAAACCATGATCCATAGTACATAACATGTAGTTGTACTATGGATCATTTAAAGTCACCTGTCCCTTTAAGAAAAAGTATCGGTAATTGGTATCGGCAAGTACATGAGGGGAAGTACTTGTACTTGGGCCTGAAAAAGTGGCATCGGGACATCCCTACAAGAGGCCCAACAATAGTGTGAGTGTTGCATCGTTCAATAATCGATCACAAGTTGTACGGTGCATTGGCCCCGGGTTATCCCATCACATCTGGGATAAAAAAACAGGAACTGCTATTGTTATTGGCTATAGGTAGGAGAACCTATATGTGACAACCTGTACAGGATTACCATGAGAAGAGACTCACCACTGTTTCGATCTGGGGAGACAGCGCCGGGAACCCTGGGAACAGCGCCGGGAACCCTGGGAACATCTGGAAGATTTATTACCATGTCACCCATGTCAAAAGCTGAAATTAACAGAGATGAATTCTATGAGTAAAAAAAGCTGACCAGTTGTATGAATATAGGGGTGAGCTTCTACTGTTCAACTTCCTTTGGCATCATGTATCAAATCTCAAGACCCCTCTAACAGCAGTAGGGACGCACCCACAGTAGGGCTGCAACCAATTACTTACACGATTAAATCAATAATATTGATAATGAGAATAGTTGTCAACTATTCTCATTATCGATTAGTTGGTTGGATCCCCTAGCTGGGAGGAGGGCACAGCAAGCAGTGGGCGGGTGCAATACGCAGCCTGCTATTGGCTATTGTAATTCAAAATGGCCAATAAACAGCAACAGCTGCGCTAGGAGTGTTAAACGTGTTTCAAATTTTTTGGCCAGCTGCTACAATGTCTGGTGATAAACCTGTGTGCTACTATGTTGCAACATGTTGTGGCCAGTAGCCACAACATCTAAAAAAATCAACTGAAACACTACCCAGCAAAGGGTCGGGCAATGGGGAGCACCCTGCATAATGAGGTCAGTGTGGGGACATATTAGACAGGTGATGGTGGGGCGGGGGACCCAAACAGGGTTTGTATGACAAAAGTGAACTTGTACTTTCACCTCCATGGTCTGGGTACAGGTGCACTTTAAAGATACACTTACTAAAGTGCAGGGGGGGTGAATGAGACCTTTGGAATGGGCCCATTTCTTGCTATGTATTTTTTCCATGTTAAGCTCAGCTTGGGGCTAATTAGACAGAATTGTAAAATATATGCAAAGTCACCTCCACTATTGTGCACAGCAGGGAGTCTTTGTGGGGAGGTCAGCGGTCCAGTAGGGACGTCGGGAAGGTCCGTGTCATTTTCCTGGAGAATCTCATTCAACTCTCTCTCCAGTTCATCTGCGTCCACATCTGCAGAGAGAAAATATGTCCAGCATGAGTACTAACAAATACATCGTGCTTCTCTAAAGGTATTTTAAAAGAAATAAAGGAATTGTTCTTGTTACCATCCAGACGCTCTCGATCATATTTAATTTTTGCTAGCTTTATTCATAGCCGTATGTCAAGACAAAAAAACAAACACATTTCCCTGTGTTTTATTCCTTTAAAGACTCTCATCCCCTTAAAAGGAGAACTATGGGGTCAGTGTTTTTCCCCATAGTTCTCCTAAGGGTAATGGGAGAACACAAACAAGCATCCTCCCGTCACCCGAAGCTCAGTATATAGTGAGCTACAGCTCTCGGTATACTGAGACGCCGCAGCCGGACAGATCCCGACATTACTGTCGAGATCCACCCAGCTGCGTGAGTGACAGCTGGCTCTGCCTATCTAGAGGCAGAGCCAGCTGTACCTGCCCCCTCCCCCGTCCGTTTCGCCAGTCAGCGCTGGAGGATCGGAGGGGGGGAATCCCTGCAGGGCGCCGTGAGTGACAGTCACAGCTCTCTGCAGGTAGATGATCGAGAAGTGAGCGAGCGACGGTATGTGTTCCCTCACTTCCCGATCTATTGAGCCGACCTGTGACAGTTTCATTGTCACATGTCGGCTAGAATTATGAGGCTGAGTGATTTTCACTCGCCTCATAGTTCTCCTTTTAAAGGGCTCTTTAACCCTGTTGTGGGGTGACAACATACAGCTTTTTGAGGACTGAGTGGTGTCAGCTTTGCCCAATGTATTTTGCTAAACTACTCAACCACTCTCAGAGCTCTATAACATCAAGACTAATCATTTGGTTATCCAAGATAAAAACTAGGAAGGCTCTTTCAGATAACACAGGGACACAGGAAGCTCTGAATTTCTGACAAGAACAATTTCTCAGACAGAAATAACAAAATGCTTCCAATGTGATATTTAAAAGTTTAAAGTTTTGTGTTTGGGTTTACATACTGTATATTTTAAGACCAGGCAACGCTGAAAACCCACCAAAATCCCATATAATGATGGAAGATGTGGCTCCCCTTATACCCAAAACAAAGCCACAGAGTGCTGAAGTCTCCCTGATTTCCCTTTGGATGGTGGACCAATCATACCCGGCTGCCTGCCATAGTATGATCACATCTATGGAGTGATATGGAAATCTATACGGGTCTGACAGCACAGATCTGACTGGGAGCGCAGACTGAGCTCTGCTGTACAGTTGACTGGAAGTGACGGACACCGAGTCAAATCCAGGTATTTACACGTCTGCATTTACAGATACATTGAAGGAAGTAATAATAAATACAAAGCTGCATTATATGGCGTCTAAAGATCACACTTGAGCTCTCATAGCGCAAACAGTGAACCCTACTTACCAATATCCCCGGGCACAGCTCCAGCCAAGGTCTGGCTAACATCATCCTGAAGGTCGCAGAACTGCAAGAAACAGCAAAGGGCACAATATACGAGGTGCGACAGCTTTTATAGTCCACACAATTTCATTTGCTTATTGTAAAGAAAAAGATAAAGAAAAAAATATTCACATGAAGAAAACTTTGACATTCCAAAAGTGAAAGAGAGAAAGGCTTTGATACTTGTATGTGGTGTGACTGATAAGGTGGTAAGGTCTTTGTTATATGAACATGGTACTTTCAAGGAAGCAACAGGTTCTCTTTAGTCAATATCATGGGTTAGGTCACCTAAATTCAGTGCTTTCCAAAAAAATAATGATGAAAAATATACCAGCAGTGGAGTTTACATCACCGTGAGCAGGAGTGCTCTATATTGGATCATAGAATATAGTTGCTACACATGAAATGCCTTGCAAGTCAGGATTTGAGTCATAAAGCTGAACTCCAGGTATACAGTTTTATGTATACTTATATTGGTCCAGTTTGGCCCAATATAAGTATACATATTTTATACCCGATCAGCCCACAGGGATCCTGTAAAGCACCCTAGTAGCCAGAGCTACAACAATGCTGGCCGCCATCTGCTGGGTCCTGGTACTGGCTGTTCTGAGTGACTTTCCCTCTGCTCTGAAAACACAGGGGGGTCACTCACTTGACATAGCAGCCATTCAGAGAATGCCTTGTATTTTTAGCCATGACTACAAGGGGCTCTCTGATTGGACGAGGGGAGGATCGTGACATCACCGCCCTTAATCAATCAAAGAATGCCTTGTACACATTGACAGGCCCGTCTTTAACGCAGGGCAAAAGGGGGAGTTGCCCTGGGCCCAGTTATTGTTGTGGGGCCCAAAGCAGCTGCCCCTTGAGCCTGCACTGCTCCCTACCTACCTGGAGATGCGGGATGTCAGTGTCCCGTCCCTTCTCCCCCCTCACCTTTGTCTGCTCTGCCTAGCAACTGATGATGCTGATGGGCGGGCTGTCATAATTACGTACCTCGGCCCACCCATCACATCATCAGTTGCTAGGCAGAGCAGACAAAAGTCCTGATCTCCTGATCTGCTGCCTGTCTGCAAGTAACATCAGGGGGGGGAGAGATTTGGGAAACCAGGAGGATGAGGGGGGAGAGCACGGGGATTACAGGCTCAATAACAGACTCTGATCCCCTTGCAGACAGGCAGCAGAGATCAGAAGATCGGGACTTTTTTTTTTTTATCAAAGCATAGGGATCAGAGCCTATCATGCATGCCTAGACCAGCCGGCCTGCCCATCTGCATCATCAGTTGCTAGGCAGACAGGGGGCTGATAAAAAAATATATAAAATAAATACATTGATTTGGGATGTTGGGGTGGCAGGTAGAGGGCGTGGCTTGGTGGGTAGGGGCGGGGGCCCAAGAAAATGTTTGCCCAGGGTCCAATCAATATTAAAGACGGCCCTGCACATTGATAAAAAAAAAAAGATACTAGGCGTTCTCTGAATGGCTGCTGTGCCGAGAGAGCGACCCCCTGTGTTTTCAGAGCAGAGGGGAAGTCACTCAGCACAGCACCATACGGGGCGTAGAAGATGGCGGCCAGCACTGTCTCTCTGGCTCTTACAGAGCTTTGCAGGATACACATGTGCTGATCGGGTATGATATATGAATACTTACATTTGGACAAGCTACTCCCAGGGCCGGATTTCCCACAAGGCCCGGCCTCGGGGCAGCAGGGAGTAGAGGGGCAGCAGGGGTGTGGAATTCCTATCTCCTGATGCCTGGGACATGCAGTTCCGGGCACCGGGCGGGTAGTTTTGTACATTTAGCCCTTCTTCCGGCAAGCAGAGCGAAATGTACAGCGGGGAAGCCGCTGCTTGTTTTGTACAAGTGATCTCAGCGATGTCACCGAGATTACTTGTAGGCAGCCTGCAGGTCTGCCATGGGGGGGGGTTGGCAGGTAGGGGGGGTGCATTGAGGAACCTGGCCTTGGGGCAGCAGAGAGTAAATCCGGCCCTGACTGCACCAAGACAAGCATGCAGAATAATGTAAACCTGGAGTTTAGCTTTTAAATCTTCCTCTTCATTCACCCTCTATAGCCAACCCCGGGACATTTAGAGCTGAGAAAGCTGCTCACAGCCAAAAGAAAGTGTGCAAAGAAGCAGAAACTAATCATCAAAAATAAATCCCATTTGGGATGTTGTACAATTTATATCAAACCCACAAAACGTTCACAGCAGCTGCTCAAATCACTTCTACAAAACCAGCTGACAGTCAGGAGTGAAACTGTTAACAGAAGTCCATATACCCATTACACTCCTGACCGCTCAATCCAAGAATGAGCAGATGGGTGCAGCGGTGGTCGATGGATGGCACCGTCACATGCACATGATATGAATAGAACAGCGGCACTCTAATTAGATATGATGCGTCTTTATTGACGTGAATGAGCCAGGCTTCATGTATTCCGGGCGCGAACTGCAGCAGGACGCACCGGATATGGGGTGACTGGGCCCTCAGGCAAGAAGGGGATCCTGTGTGCCCCCGAAACGTTGCACTTGTGTGATACGTCGCATTCACTTCAAAGAAGATGCATCATATCTGTAATTGGAGTGCCGGTGCTCTATTCATATCATGAAACTGTAAACAGACCCCTGGCTACGATAGTGGTCGGGAGTTTGCATGCATTATGGTGTAATATGTTTCAATGTAAAAATTATACTAGGGTTAAATGTTGTTATAATGATAAAAACGCTATGTTTTAATCCAGCGGTTCTCAACCTGTGTAACCTCAGGACCCACATTTGTCCTTGGTCATTAAGTCGCGACCCAAGTCCCACTGCATTGGACAGCATGGCCTTGCGGTACCGCACGTTCCGGTGCGGGCGATTGAACTGTGGGTGGGAGGTGTGTTTGGAGTACCATTCAAATGAATGGCAATGCAACATACCTCCCACGCCAGAACGCATACTAGGTGTGATTGCATGGTACAGTGCGTTACTCTGGCCCAGGTACCTCTACAGTACACATGAGGGAGCTATAAGCAATGCACACATGGTTGGAGCTCCCTCGTGGCCATAGCCCCATCCCATCCCACCTCAAGCTGACACTCGGCACCGGGCAGCATATTCTGAATGGCTGCTTGGTGTGAGAACTGACAGTGCTCTGCTAGTGGGGAGCCTCTCACCTAGAAAAGTGGAAGGCATGCAGCGACCCACTTAACATGGGGTCGCGACCCACTTTTGCGTCACGACCCACCAGTTGAGAACCAAGGCTTTAATCTATGTGTCCGTAGCGTCTGAGAAACAGTTTTTGGTTTGAGGTTTAGAACTTCCCTGAACATACAAAGTTGGCAAATGGCCACTCCAGACTCCCCTAATGTGCCGGCATTCACCCTCCATCATAAACATCCCTCTATAAGAGACACCCCAGTGAGGAATCATCATCTGCATCACCTCCTGAATCTGATCCACTAAGCATTCCGTCTTCTCCAGACTGACGTCCTTCAGTGTAGTGCGCAGCGCCGTCACCCCCATCTGGTACGCAGAGATCACCTGTCATTGGGAGAAAGGTTTTATTGATAAGAGGGCTTTGTAATCAGAAATAATTACTGCACAGCTTTGAGGTCGACAAAAGCCACCGAACTACAAGATGGGGGTGGGTGGAATCTCATGACTGTGGGGAGAGGATGGGGAGAAGGGGGGGCAATCCGCTGGCTCTGGGGGGACAACAAGGGGAACGTCATGGATCTCGGAAGGGGAGAAAAGGGGAATACCATGGCTCTCAGGATGGGGGGGGGGGGGAACCCCATGGCTCCGGAGGGGAAAGGTGAACCCCATGGCTCCGGAGGGGGAACGGGGAACCCCATGGCTCCGGAAGTGAACCCCATGGCTCCGGAGGGGGAAAGGCAATCCCATTGCTCTGGAGGGGGAAAACCAATCCCTTTGCTCTGGAGGGGGAAAAGGCAATCCCATTGCTCCGGAGGGCGGAAAGGCAATCCCATTTCTCCGGAGGGCGGAAAGGCAATCCCATTTCTCCGGAGGGCGGAAAGGCAATCCCATTGCTCCGGAGGGGGAATCCCATGGCTCCGGGGATGTGGCACAGGAACCTATGACTGTCTGGGGTCACATAATAGTTACCATGCGGTCAGTTTCTGCCATTGATATTCTCTCCAGGATGCTCTGCACAGTGTCCAGCTTATTCTGTACCTCTGACAGCCGTCGTTCTGACAACTTCCTGCGTCTCATACATCGCACAGCCTAGAACATGAACAGGATAAAGACTCAGCGGGGGAGACATAAGCTATATAGCCGATAATGGGGTTGAATTTCCATCATATATTAAGAGGATTCCTTCACATGGTGAAGTTTAAAAGGGAACATATCATGTATTTTCACTTATCACGTTTAGAGTTATTGTTGCAGGGTTACATTAAAATAAGTTTTAAATCTGACACATATTTTACAATCTCACCCTCCCATATTATTATTGCATTAAATATAAAGGATACGTCAGTAGAGGGAGTACTCATTGGATCTTTGTAATTACTTTTGGTTTATTTTGCTCTTCTTTATTTCTTAATTGTCTTTTCTTTCCTTAATTTTATTGAGCAAAATGTGCGTATTCCATATTACATATATAGGGGAAGATCGGCTGTAAAATGAATCTATACTTCATTTTAGATTTCTATAAGTTCTGCCTAAGAGCTGAAATCGCAAGAAACCAGAGACTGCTTTTAAAATCCACTTGTGCGCCCCACTTTGTTACTGAGGACATGCTTTTTCCTCACTTCAAGGCTCCACCTCCATTATAGTTACTGCAGCACAGGGTACAGGCGCGCAGTCATTTTCCCCTCCTTAATGAATGTTTATTATGGACAGTGACTTATACCATTCCACCGCCCTGCACGAGTAACGCCCACAAAACAAGGCATTTTAATTGGGAGGAGCAGAGAAGTAGGAATTGAATAAAGAAATGATTGCAATTCATAGACAATGCAGTTCAAGGTATTTGCATTCTTTTCTGAGCCCCCTTATTACATTTAATTGATCATGAGGGTTCTTCATTGAACACTACGAAAATCTGCTAAAACCCTTGCTGTACACACTGTATAAAATGGGGTGCAGCAGGGGTAGGTGAACTTTGGCTCTCCGGCTGTGCTAAAACTACAAATCCAATCATGCATCTGCCTCTGGGAGTCATGCCTGTGGCTGTCAGAGCTTTGCAATGCTCTATGGGAGTTGTAGTTGCACCCCAGCTGGAGGGCTAGAGTTTGCCTACCCCTGGAGTACAGGATCACATTAAGACAACAAAGTAGCACTGGATGTTAGTAACACTAAGAACCAGGAACACAGGATGCATATGGAAGAAAAGAGGATTCATACCTGCTGCTTATTTCCAGCTCTCTTAAAGCTTATTGCCTCTTCCTTCAGCCTGTGAATGGAGAACAAAAATCCATTACATCATTTGGAAAACAGTTCAACTCCTGAGCAATCAGCGGTGTTCAAAACCTTTTCTAAATCTTAAGCTGGCCATACCGGCTACTGTATTCTGACAGTGCCCATGGCTGCTAGAATACCTGAACAGGGACTACATGTGACTGAGTGCGGTCATTGTTCAACAAACAATTTTCCACCCGGCTCCTTCCACAAAAGCCGATTTGAAAAGTGTGTGTGTGTGTATATCTAAATATATATATTGTAGGGATGCACCGATACCGATACTAGTACTCGCCCAAATGCTTCCAATGCTCATACCAACACCGGAACTTCCAGTATCAGGAAGCCTGGCGGCGAGTCATTACACGCTGCCCAGCTTCCCGATTGTTTGGAAAGCCGGTTCCATGCTCCCACCTTACCAGGGACACTGGGGGGGGGGGCTTCCTGATTGGCCGGGAAGTCGGCTCCATGCTAGCTTGTCACTTGGTGATGAGGGACCATGAAGCCACCTTCCCAGCCAATCAGGAAGCCGGGTGGCGTGTAACTACTTATCGGCCAGCTTCTTGAACAATCAGGAAGCCGTGCGGTGAGTAATTTCCTGCCCCCTGGCTTCCTGATTGGCCAGAAAGCTGGCTCCATGCTTCCTCGCCACCTGGTGACAAGAGAACATGGTGCCGGCCTCTCGGCCAATCAGGAAGCCAGGAGAGGGTAATGATTTGCTGCACGGCTTCCAGGCAAATCAAGATGCTGGGTGCTGAGTCATTACACGCCGTCTGGCTTTCTTAATGGGACTTCCGGTATCAGTATTAGCGAGTACCAAAGAAAAAAAAGAATCGGTACTCGATACTGAAAAAACGGTATCAGTGCATTTCTAGACTTATAAATCAATATCTGAAATGTGATCGGTTGCTATTGTGGGTTATCGCTCCCTCCACCTCTCTATGGTTTAGTTGGCCATAGACCTCAGTACTTACCGATCAGACTCGTCACTCGCCCTCTGCACCCTCTCCGATAGCAGCTTCTGACTTTTATGTAATTCATAAATTCCAAAATCAGATTCTCCAATTGGGGTCACCTGAGTCCTGCCGCCACGGACAAACTTCACAAACTGCAATAGAACATACAAGACCATAAATACGGAGGAGGAGGGGTAACAATCAACTAGAAAATAGTGAATAGGCGTCACTGCTTTCACCTTCTCCCCGTGCCTCTGCAAGACACAGATCTTCTTATCTCGCTGCAGTTGTAATAAAATCAGATTGAAGGCAGATCTGTCCGGAAAGTGATCCTTGCAGAGCGTGTATACTTCATCTTCCAGCAGCAAGGAGGTAGAACTCAATGGAGAGGACTGGAATATCCGCAACAGAAGCTCTGCCCGTTCCTGGGATGAGGAGAAGAGAACAATGTCTACAAAATTCTCCAGCCTGTACCATGTGGTTTTTAACCGCTTGAAGACCAGGTGTTTAGACCCCCTTCCTGTCCCGGCCATTTTTCAGTATTCAGCGCTGCGGTACTTTGACTGACATTTATTCCGTCATGCAGCGCTGTACTGAAATTAATTTTTACCATTTTTTGGGGACAGGTGGAGCTTTTTTATGGTGGTATTTAATCACCACTGGGGGGGATTTATTTTTTACTATATTTTGTTTTTTTTTACATTAGGTTATAAAACAACTAATATTACCCACTTTTTTGGTAAAATATAAAAGGCGGGGTCACGTCGGGTAAATAGACACCAAACATGTCATGCTTAAAAATTGCGCGCATTCGCGAAATCACAAAAAACTAGCATACCCAAAATTGGCCATAGGCGACGCTTTAAAAGCTTTTACCGCCTCATCAGTTTAGTGTTATCAGTGATAAATGGCCCTAGAACTATTGCTCTCATTCCGATGTTCGCGGCGATATGTAACATGTGCGGCGTAATAGGCGCAATCGTCTCTTTCGCAGGTATGCGCACCTGACGCATGTTTACGTGCGTGTATGTAGGGGTGGGGACTTTTAAAAAAAAATTTTTTTTTTTACATTCTTTTTTATGTGTAACTTTAAAAAATTTTGGGGGGAAACTTTACATTTCTTTCCTATTTTTATTTTTTTTCCACTTAACTTTATTGCTATCACAGAGGGGGCTGAGAAACCCCTCTATGTGATAGCAAAATATGTGACAGGTCCTCTTTATGGAGACATCAGGGGTCTCCAAGACCCCTAATGTCACCTAGGACCCCACTGAAGAAGCTGATGAAGCAGAGATCTGCTTCATCAGCTTCTCTCCAGCATCTGAAGCTGGAGAGTGACAGAAGAATGCGTGTCGCGGCAGACAGCTGTTTTCTCCCCACAGCGATTGTTCATATAGGTTTTTAGCCTTCCACACCACTGGGCTCTACCTGGCTATACCTTCCTAGGGGCTCCACCTGACTACCTCCAGTGTTCACAAAGGACTTCTCAAATGTGAGTTTTTTACAACTGCTTACAAACAGTAGTAGCGCTCTCAATACATATATTGTCTCCATTTTGCTACCAGAGGGTTCCTCTCCCTGTTTTTTAAAGAGCTTGCACACTGTTATCCTTTGTTCATTTCACCCCCTCCAGCTAGTTTGTATCCCTTGCTAGTGCGCTTGTCCTTTTTTTCTGATATGAATGGGGCTCCGTGTGTGGAAGGGCATACTCTGATGTAAAAGAAAGGGGTCTCCTAATGTAAATGGGCATGATGTGAAGCAGAGAACCCCACTTTTTTCGATTTTGGGTGGGGTCCCCCCTTAAAATCCATTTCATTGTAGACTGAAGTGCCTCGAGATTTTGCATACATTTATAGGGTGCTGTGACTGAAAAAGGGTTGAGAAAGGCTGCTCTAAAAACACGAGGAAGGATACGTAGACATCCTCTGTGGGACAATGCATCTTTGACAATCAAAATGACTGAGAGCGACTGGACAAAGGTAAAATAAAAAAGCCATGGACTTTACGACAACCAAGTAGAAGACAACAACTGATAGCTGGACACGGCATGTAATATCACACAATAGAAGTCAGTATCACCATGCACCTTCAAGGCATCGGGAATCACAAATGGCTCATCTGGATTCATCTTCCCACCTAGGATGGTGCCCAAGGTCCACTGTAGAGGTTTGATGACCACTTGCCTCATGCCCCATGAGATCCAACCGCTGGAGACTCCAGACACAAAATCTGATTCTTGGTGCAGGCAACCGCGTCTACCAAAAACAGAGCAGGTGGGGGGGAAAAAAAACATTAATAAGGAAGCCGCACTACACATTTCCTGGTCTTGTCCCCACGGGTGTGGAGCACTTTGTCTCATCTTTCAAGTTAGTCTCATTGCTGAGATAACATGGCTGACAGTGTGTGCCCCCCCAGTGGCTTCTAGCCTTGCAGCACTGGGGTCCTCAGTTTGAAGAAACCTCAAGAAATACTTTGTAAAGTTTAAGTAAAACCAATTTCTGTTTTAGTTTAGAATAAAGTAGGGAAGGAAATAAACCCCACGTGGTATGTGTCCCATTGGGGGGGGGGGGTTTACCCTTCACTTCCTGTCCCATAGACATAATAGTAAGGGGGAACAAATCTTTCCAAGTGAGGGACATCTTCTCCACAACAAGTGTCCCGGTTGGAAGATTTCCCTCTATTCCTGTTCTGGCGGCAGCTCAAAATTTTGGATCCTGGTCACCAAGACAACTAGAGAGGATGAATCTCCTCTCCGTGCACATGCACACAAAGCAAAAGAAAATCCTGACAGGGCTGCTGACCCGTCCCTACTCTATCCAAAGGTGAGCTTTAGATGCACTCTACTAATAGGTCTCAATGTAAACCAGGGGTCTCAAACTCAATTCACTCGGGGGGCCACTGGACAAATCGATCATGCGTCCAGGGATAGTGATTGTTTTCTAACAGCATACCATTACATGCGGTGTGCCGGCGTTTACATGCAGCCGCTGTCACCTCATCAATAACGTGAATGGGTGACAGTTGCCGCTTGTAAACACCAGATTAGAGATTTCTACTGCAGGAAAACGCAAGTTCCTTATGCAGGAATCCCTAATCACACCTAAACTTGCAGGTGTGAATGGTGTGTAATCTAATGCGCGCGTACGTACACACACACATATAGAAAAATCCCCGAACACACAAACTGAAACTCACACACTAATGTAGACCGTGTAACTGTTCCCACAAGTCAGGTGCGGCGTGCCTGACTTGCCAGTCGCTGCAGGCTGAGTGGTACCGGTCCACGGGCTAGAATTGACCCGTGGGCCGGTACGTTGAGAACCCTAATGTAGGTTTCAGCTTATACATATACTACAGGCTGCAGAAGAACGCGTCCATGATTTATGCCCATCAATTGCTCCTTTCTCTCCTGTCTAATGCAAAGGAATACAATTAGGGTCCTATGCTGGCCATAGGCACCAGGGTGGGCGTCACACGGTGTGGCTGCCACACACGCATTATGGCGTCCATGGTGTGACGTCATCACACATGCGCAGTGATGTAATTTACTACTGGTGGCCATCTTGGTGAAGGATGCCAGCAAAAATAGGTGTGAATGTTGACCTGGTGAGATCAGGTATGCTGCAGAGTCCCGTCCCCTGCCCTCAGGGCCACCCTCTCAGTCTGACCCAATTGGTTCAGGAGAGACGCATTCCTGGCCTGCAGCTATATGTCACTAAGCCCCCCGCCAATGCATCTGCCACCACTGATTAGGCCGCAGAAAGGGGTGGCGGTCACAGTTTTGAGCAGGCTTTCGGGTGAACTCAGGTGAACTGGGTTCGCACAAAGTCCAGCCTCATCTCTACTAGTGATTTATGTTTGAGAACTGTATTGGTCCAACAGCAGCTGTATCAGGTGGAGTCACTTGAACCGGACTCAGAAGGTGGTGTTTTTTCCTCCCTAGATCAAAATGATCACTTAAGAGAACTATGAGGCGAGTGCTTTTCCTCATAGTTCTAGCCGGCCTGTGACAATGAGACTGTCACAGGTCAGCTCAGTAGATCGGGAGGTGAGCGAACACATACCGGCGTTCGCTCACCTCTCGATCTTGTCACGGCTCTCCCGTGACAGGGGAGGGACTGGATTCCCCCCTCCCCGCTCCGATCCTCCAGCGCTGACTGGCTGGAACGGACCGGGGAGGGGGCGGGTACAGCTGGCTCTGCCTCTAGATAGGCAGAGCCAGCTGTCAGTCACGCAGCTGGGCGGATCCAGACATAATTGTCGGGATCCGTTTCAGCTGCGGCGTCTCAGTATACTGCAAGCTGCAGCTCGCGGTATACTGAGCTTAGAGTGATGGGAGGATGCTAGTTTGTGTCCTCCCGTTACCCTAAGGAGAACTATGGGGAAAAGCACTGACCTCAGAGTTCTCCTTTAACCCTTGCAATGCAGGGGTAGCCCCACTGTATAGCTGGCCATACACCTTACAACCTTTTTTTGTGCGATGGTTGTAAGGTCATTAAAATTTCTTACGACCTGCCCATCTTGGACAGGCAGACTGCACTTAGCGGGCAGTGCGCGCTTGCGCACACCAGCCCATGCGGCTTTCGTCTTCCGAGCACGCTACCAATCGTACGATTTACACCTGCCGATTAACGTACGATCGCGGGATCACCCGGAATTATCGCACGATAATCGGCAGGCGTATGGGCACCTTTAGGGTTCTTCTTCAATTCTGCTTTTATCAGGTCCTCCCCTACATATATCTTAAAGATCAGAAGAAAACTCCTGGAATCTTTAGCCCCATGTACAAAATATTACACAATCTCCACCTGAGCATCTCTTGGATCACCACCGCCAAACCCAACGGCGTGCTGCCCTTGCGGATGAAGTGTGACTGCAGCTGGTGCAGCGTGACACTGACAGATCCTTGAGACTTGGCGTGCTGCAAAATCAGGGGGATCCAGAATGTCATTTTACTGTCCCAGTCCGCGCTGTCCACATCTCGCGTCGCTCTGAAGGCAGAGAATAAAAATGACATCCGCTCGTCATCATCCCAGTCGGAAGGGTAGGACGGCGCCATAATCACTGCGGATCAAGGGGCGGACCTAAGAGGAGGGAAAAAAAAAAAAGCCTTAATAACTCAGGTCAGACATCTGCCTCTGGACCCCATGCACAGACACAATGGCAAAGTGCAGGTAATGAAGACCACCGTTCACAAAGAGGATTTCACACAACATTAAAAACGTTCAGGAATTGGCTACATCTTTGCGGCCGACATTTGCCCTGAATGGAATGAATTTTATGCCATTTCACGGGCGTGCGCAGTTTTCACGCTTGACATGTTTGGTATCTATTTACTCAATGTGACCCCGTCTTTCATATTTTACCCCCAAAAAAATAGGCTGTTTTGCTGTGAGCACTCTGATCAGTACAATTATTCTCTTCAGTATTTTTGGCGTTTGATTTTTTTGGGGGCTTTTTACTTAAAATTTTAGATTGTATTAAATTACGGTTCATTAATATAAATTTGATGTCAAAGTAAAGCCCTAGTTGTCCTCTTAAAGAGGAAATATACCACTCCCTCCACTGGGTTCCACTCGCCCAACGCCCAAAGGATAAAATTCAAAATATTAACCACTTCCAGGCCGCAATACGACTATAGACGGCAGCCCGCAGAAGTGGTTAAAACAACACGGCTGCTGTTGGCCTTCCCCCCATACTTAATTTTCACAGAACAGTCCTTCCCCCTCCGCCGCTATGGGCGTACTACCTGTACCTCATACTGCCGTCCAGCAAAGCCCAGCGCTATGGATTTTTAATTTCGCTCGCAATTTGCGAGCACTCGTTGGTTAGTGCAGTCAGGTGATCGTGCTGACTAGGGCTGCAACAACTAATCGACATAATCGATTATAATCGATTATTGAAAAAGTTGTCAACTTTTTCAATAATCGAGCTGCCCCTCTATCAGTCACGTGTGTATCTGGTCTATGGCGTATCGCGCTGTGATAGAATATATCGATGACAACAGATAATATGAAATATTCAGGATACTTTCAGGTTGGTTTCGGGAAGCCCAATTCGGGACCACGCCGGCTATTACCAAACTGTAAAAATTAACAAAAACAACGTAAACAAAACATGTGAACAAATCATTGGACTCCATGGAGAAATTGGCCTTTTCCCACCACCACCACCACTCTTCTGTGTTTCCAGGGCAACAGCTGATCACGACTGACAAACAGGAACAACAACAATGAGCTGACAGCTGTGTACAGAACAATGGGGGACAGAGCAGAAACAAAACTGAAAGTGACATGAGCTCTATAGAGAAGGTCAGAGAAGGACAGACATGACACACAATATAGAGGATGTCCATGACAACACAGGACAGACACAGCACACTCACCCCCAGACACAGCTCTTCTCATGCAGGACTGCTCCCACCAGCCAGAACACTTTGTTTTGATCCCTCCCGGCTACCGTACCCACAGACAGCCTACAACCCACGTGACACTTGATATTCAGGATGCTGGCGCCATCTGCCGGACGATGTTGGTACTGTCGCCGTAGCGCATGAAGTCCTAAGACATTGTCAAAATGCGCCGCCGTGTTGCGTCCGCACGGGCCACGGATGCGTTTGAGGTCAACAGCCGAGCGTGCTGATAAGAGAGGGCTTTGCACTGTAGCGGCCCTCTATGCCTGGTCATTTACATAAGTGGGCGGGGAATGCCTCCTCGATGTGACGTCACCGGCCCGTAGCGTCTGGGCCTATTCATGAGGGGGCGGGATTGAGCAGGGAATTCCTCCTCGACTATATTCATGAGGGCGCAGTTTTGACGAGAATCCCTCCTCGGCGTGACGTCACTAGCGGTCGCCTATGTCGGCTTATTCATGAAGTGGGCGGAGTTCTGCAGGGAGTGCCTCTTGAGCGTGAGGATCTTGCCTAAGAAAGGGGGTGGGGTTCCCAGGCAATCCCTCCTCGGAATGGCGTCACGAACAAAAGGGGCGGAGTTCCGTAGGGAATCCCGCCTCTGCCTGACGTCACTATGTAAGCTGGCGGGAAAAAGAAAAAGTCCGGAGGGAACTCGGAGCAGCCGGAAAGTCTTTAGGTATGTGGTGTAGCCTAGAGGGTCGTGTATCACATGGGCAGGCCATAGAAGCCTTGTACCTTGTGTTGGGACAAAGCCCTGTGTTCTGTCAGAGCAGGGTGAGGTGACAGGTGCGCTTTAATGGCGGCCGTGCAGCTTTACCTTTTCTAAGTTTGGCAAACAGGCAGCACTTCCGAGTACGGGGGCTCATGTGACCTGCTCCACTTCCTCTCACATGACCTTGCTCAGCAAAGGGTCGCCTAGGCAACCAACGCTGTCCCATGGTGGATGGGAAAGACCTCTGACAGTGTCATGTCCTGACTGAGCTTACGCTGGGGTCTTCTCTCTTCTGGTGGAGGGAGGGTACATATGAGGGGGGTGGGGCTGCCATTAAACCCCAAAATTGAGGTTCAGTATTGTGTAATGACCATGATGATTGATTTGCATATTTTGTCATTTTACAGCCATTTCAGCGGTCTGCGTCCCCTCCGGGGTCCTGGCTCTCCATGATGGAGGACGATGTGTCTGATCAGGCCTCTGACGCAGGAAGTGAGGAGGTCCTGACACCCGTGGAGCTCATTAACAAGCTGGAGGAGGTGAGACGGCCGTTGTGGTCATTGAATAGAACACAGGGGGATGCTAAGTTCTCCTTCAGGTCCTCCTCTGCTGGGTGGGTGCACTAGCCAGCCTGCTATTGGCTACTGCAATTTGAAATGGCCAATAGCAGCCAAGCTATTCATTCCCCAGCTTTCTGTTGATGTGTGTTTTTTTTTTTTTGTTTGTTTGTTTTTTATTCTGACGGCAGCCGCCGTCGGTATACAAAAAAACAGCAGATAGCACGGGAAGCATTAGATCCTCTATCAGCCATCCAGTGGCGGAACTACTGATAGATCCTCTATCAGCCATCCAGTGCAGGCGGTGCGGGCGCCCGGGGCCTCAGGCTCTGGGGGGGCCCAAGCAAGATGCCGGCCGCCGGATCAGTATCCAGCGCCCGGCGGGCCCACGGGATCCGCTTCAGCTGCGGCGTCTCAGTATACAGCGAGTTGTAGCTCGCGCTATACTGAGCTTAGGGTGACGGGAGGACGCTAGTTTGTGTCCTCCCGTTACCCTAAGGAGAACTATGGGGAAAAGTGTTAACCCCATAGTTCTCCTTTTAAGAGACATAAGTTGAGGTAAGTGCTGACATTAACATTGGGAGGAGGGATAAAAAAAAATTGACTTTAATGTCACTTTAACCACTTCTATCATTTCACGGATGTGCCTCTCCCCCGTTGTCTACCAATGCTCTCTAAATATAGGCTTTCTTCCCTAGTTCCTCCCCTCCCCGCTCATCAATGAATAAAACCTTTACATTTTAGTCCCAGTGATGTCATCGCTGGGGCTCTGTGCTTCTCTATGCAGTGCAGGCAGATCATGGCTGGTGGGAGGGGCTGGAAGGGCTCTGTATATAGCTTCCCAAAAACATCACAGCACCCTGTTTGCAGCATGCTGAGTCAGTGGAAGAGCCAAAGATCGCCACACGTGGTCTGTGTCCACGCTTTTTTTTTTCCTGGTACATATGCTAGGAGTTGATCCCACGGCCTGTGCCCAGTACATTGAGCATTACAATTATTTATATAGCGCCAACATATTCTGCAGAGCTGTACAGTTGTTTAGACAAGTAAGAAACCCTGACCAGCACCGCTGACATACAGGAACAGTAGGTGAGGAGGACCCGGCCAAAACCACATTACATTGCTCGCGTGACCTGCGCCCAGTACATTGCTCACGTGACCTGCGCCCAGCTCACCCTCCATGTGACCTGCGCCCAGCTCACCCTCCACGTGACCTGCGCCCAGTACATTGCTCCAGTACATTGATCATGTGACCTGCTCTCTCCCCAGGCTTGGCTCAATGAGAAGTTTGCTCCTGAACTCCTGGAGAGTAAATCTGAGATTGTGGAGTGTGTGATGGAGCAGCTGAACCACATGGTAATGTATCTGAGTAATTTCTCGATCTCGACGGGTGATCTGAAATCTCAGCGCTTTTAAATCACATGGAGATAGAAAGGATCCGCTTCATGCTCAGCAGTTACCTGCGCAGCCGCTTGCTCAAAGTACTGACATCTCTTACAATGTGTTCTCCTGATCATCTTCCACCCGGCGTATCCATGTGTCCAAATGCCATTCACACGGCACCACCGCCACTAGATGGATCAGCACCGGAAATCCCCCATACTCCTCAGCGCCATCTAGTGGTGGTAGTGATGTGTGAACGACATTCGGACAGCTGTATGCTCGGTGGAAGGTTTATATATATCAGCCTCACCCAGAACTAATAATAATCCAATTTTGGATGGACCTGCGCTCATTGTGCCACCCACTTGGATTCTTTTTTTTTTCCTTCCGGGACTCCACCAATAAGATCCTTGTGCTGGAATTCCCAGTTCAGCCCACCTGCTGCCACCAGTAAGATGTTCTTGCTGCTTTTGACTTTGCAGTGTGTGGTGCTCTGCATTGATATTCCAGCACTGGAGTCTCTGATGGTGTAACCTGTTATGTATACATGTGGCAGCGCAGGGGGTGGGGTTTGTGCTGCGCCGCCACATTCTATACATGCATAGGGCCGGCATTGCTGTTTTGCGCTCAGTTGTGCACCCCCCTTGCACTGTGACCGAGCTGTCACTGACCGCTTCCAGTCACAGCTGGGCTTCTGATCATGTGACCAATCAAGTAGAGCTTTCCGGGGGGTGGGGCTTATTGTCATATGCAAAACTGCACATGTTTATTGTGCGCTACCATTGAAGCTGATTGGCCGTTCAGCCAACAGTTTTCTACCCGGCTCCGGTGACAAAAGTCAATTGATTAGTCAACCTTTGTTGAGCCGGGTGGTTCCGGCGGGGTCACAACAGCTAGAATTTCTTCAAGGTCCGAAAGTGTATGGCCAGCATACCCCCCCCACCCCCTCCACTGATGCATGCTTACCTCAATCGAGCAGCCACTGGTGTGCAGCAAATCTTACGGTACTGAAAAACTGGCTGATCGCACACCAGCTATGTCCAAACACACTCTTCATCTTTTCATAAAAGCATAACACGAGATGGATAGAGACCACTGATGCGTTTCATGTGAAGTGTGTGAAATGCGTCAGTGGTCTCAATTCATCCTTTGAAAGAGTCCGGACATAGCTGGCGTGTGCTCCTCCCGTTTTACTGCATAATGCCTGTCGGCAAACAAGCTGGACAAGTACCTGGCTATAGCAGGCAAGCTTGGACTAACCTAGAGTGACGCACTGCTTTCTTA